TAATAATGATTAATAACCAAGCTTATAGTTAACCAAATGTTTTATAGAATAAATCTAAATGCTACCATAACTTACTGTAATATATTACACAAGTGAGATAGAAAGTTTACATGTTTCCCCATTTCCTATTACCCTATTTTGCGGGGTATAAGGCGCGCTTCGTAAAGTCGCACGCGAAAACGTGCGCGAGGAGTTGGTAGGTAAGGCAACAGTTTTCCTGCCTTTTTGCAAAGTTTGGCTTTCAGCTGGTTTTCGAACACTTCTTCGAACAGAGATCATTAATATGGATAGAAAGCAAACAAAAACACGCAAAAAGTAAAGTGAGGAAGAAACATTCGCAGCATTCAAAGCGAAGGTGCGCCTTATACAAGGATGCGGCTTATACTCCAGAAAAAGGTAATTCCATATCTTACCTCGACCATCTTCTTCGTCGATCCATACAGATTTGTTGCTAAGAAGGTTCCGTGCCATGACGGCGTTTCCCATTTGAACGGCTCTATGGAGGGCTGTGCCACTGGAAAGGTCGGCTGATCGTTTTTATAGTGGATAGAGCCCCGCCGTATCACGGGACCTTCAACAATAGATGATATCATTAAAGCACGAGAAAAATTCTGACTCACTGTTCGTTTTCGTCTACGTTCGTTCGCTTTTGAATGGTCAGCAGATCTGAAATAAAAGTTGTCAGGATCAGAAGGTAAGCAGTAAAATCAGTAGTACAGTCGCCCTATGCCTATTATAGTGAGTGGCCCAATCGTTGACAAACCGTATTTTAAGGAAAAAAAACAAATTTTGAATAATGTCGAACCATCGACCTTTCGTGTTCCGACCCTGACAACTGAGAAAACAGCTGAACAATTTGGAGTTGACGTGAATTTCACCAGGATAAAAATTCACTAGCATCTGGTTTTCATATGTGGGCACTTCATATTTTTATGGTCCACTGCGGAACCTGAAAATTTGAAATAAACCGGTCATGCCGATTTCAGATACATTCGCTTACGAAAGCATGCAACTACACAGTTCCGGTTGAGAGATCCACATGGAGGTGAGGCAGCGGAAGCGGCGAATGTATTGCACGGGTATGCATTTGCTCCAAGGCATAGCCAATTCAACGTGGAAACGCTACACTATGTCGGGTCAACTAGCTAGGAAGAACACTGCTGTTCGCTGCGGAAGATGGGGCGTGTCAGTGAGACTGGGTCGGCGCGCTGGCAACCCTCTCGCCACGTTGAAGCGGGCAAGCGACATGTTGGAAAACGACTGATGCGAACGACATGCTACAGTCTTGTCGCTGGATAAAAGAAAAGAAAGGAAAGAACGCGTTGGCATTAGTGCCATACCCATTCTCACTGACACGCCCCACTTGCCGCAGCGAGCAGGGTATTATTGGAATACTGTGTGCTTACCATCGAATGTCCTTACCAACACACTCAAACTGCACCATGGGTTATGAAGAAAAAAATAGAAAAGGCAGTGATCATAAGCAGAAATTTGATAAATCGCTACAAGAATTTTCGCTCATGGGTATGTGCCTTACAGAAAAAAATAAACCCTTCTTAAGAGGAAAAAATGGCATTCAGGACTTATGCTCCATTCCAGTCGTGAGTCTGCATCATTTATTGAAAATGCTGCCAGCAGTTCAGAAAACAGCTCAGTACAAAGGCTCCGTGCTCCTAGACTAGTAGAGATAAGGGCTGACTTGGTTTGCGCCCTCATATCCTGGTATGGCTCCAATAAAAGGTCAATTATCACTGCAATCACGAGTTGAGGTAGATGATGTGGCGCATCCTAGTAGGGCTGGCAAGCTTGGTTCACTACTGCGAAGCTAGCTTGTTCCGCTGGTGAACAGCAGTCATAAAGAGCAACTAATATTTGGGTTTCGCCTTCAAAGGACAGTCAATTACTCTGCCGCGCACGAGACTGGCGCTAAGTGTACAGTAGCGGAAATAGCAGTAAAAAAAACTTCGAATAGGCTATCGGTCGCATTTCTAAGAATTTGGTCGGTTTCGTTGAATCAGAATTGATCCTAGATGAAATAGGGCAGGAAATAGCTCCAGTCCAAGGCCACTGGCTGATTTGTCGGTATGAAGGTCAATAAGTATACTGGAATTTTGGACTCTTCCAAGACCCCCCTCTGGTTCTCCCTCCTCATCGAGCTGTCGAGCGGGCTGGGATAGCACATGTGAAATGGGAAAACCGCGAAGGAAATACGACCCCCCTCTCCACCATTTGTTAGCTATTCTCCGACTTCACTCTTTTCGGAATTTCCCGAAAATTCTCCTAGTTTTTCCCGAAGAATTTGCTGACGAGCGGGAAGAGGTATGTTGTGCATACCAATCAGAGGAAACCACGAAAAAGTCACCAGTCCTTCGAAAATCCGAGGGAGATACTACCTTTCCCCTCTTAACACAAGGACCAAATACGACCTTCCCCCTCCCCCTTACAGCGTCCCCGACACAAGAAAAATCAACTACCAAAAAAAATTTTCTCAGACCAAATACGACCCCCTCCCTGTTGGAGAATACTCAACAACGATGTGCCTTGTCTGGCACGCCGCCCTCACCCTTCCCTGTTCTACCTATCATCTTCCTAATTTTCCGAAATTCCTACAACTTTCTCTAATCGTCATCAATTAACTAGTAACTTCAACTGTTGGAAATAGCAGTTGTATAGTGGTTTTACGGGGTCGGCAACTATGAGGGGATAGCAAAATGAAAAGGGAAAATCCCGAAAGTCCAACAATGGGCAAAAATTTGCTCACAGCTCAAGAAAATTTTTTCAAAGACTTATGTGACCCCTTGCGCGACCAATGTATGATTCCTCTCCTTATGGGATTGTCCTAGCGATGGTGGTAGGTAGGGATACAGTAATTTTGGGTCATGTGAATCGACCACGGGTGGAAGGTGAGGAGGGTATGAATCCATTAAGAATTACAATACAATACTTACTTTTAAACGATAGCATAAGATGTGGGGCCGAACTAACCATGTAGGTTATGGAGAAGAAATTGAGAGATGAAACAAAAAACAGCTGACATGCCGTCAGGTCAGTTATGATTGACGTAAAACGACATCGTACCGATCGACAATCGGTCGGTCGCCTTTGGCTTAAATGCGACAAATTGCACCACCCACTTTGTTACGGTACTGGACGGATATTTGCGGAAAAATGTCCTTTTTTGTACTTTAGTGATCACAGTTCCTGACCTGGTTATCTGATGAATGTCAGGTGAATTAATGAGGTTAAAGGGTCAAATTAGGATAATGGAACTTGACGACCTCAACGGCGACAATATTTATGGGCTTATCGTTCTTAAGTTTTTGAAGAAAAAACTAGAGGACAAATTCGAAAGGGTCAAAAGGGTGATAAGCGTTTGACGAGGTTTTGATACGAGCTTAAAGAGCACAAAGGATGCGCTATGCGTCCGGCCAATCAGTTAGAATGGCAGTCACATGGCGATCTACGAAGATCTACTTATCCACGGGAATATGTAGTTTTCTTGGGAATTTATCCCTTTATCCTTTCAAAGCTGCCAGTATTTATTCAATTCCAACTGGAGGCGTGGCAATTTATCTGATTTTAGCTGAAGGCTTGCTTAGCTTGGGCAGAAGTTAATCTACTATGATATTTCCACCGCCCCTTCGAATATGCACTAAGGGTATCATCAAAAAAGAAAACAGGTCCGCTCTGCGGCCTCAGTTCGATGCGAGATTACCGATATCTCGTGAAGTTGCAGTAGAGAGCAACAAAGAAGACTTCTGTAGAGCTTCGATACTTATTCGGAATTGAAAGAATCCTTGGCACTGAACTTACCATATTGGTCCTTATGACCATGTTTGAACTGTTAGGGACTACTTATCCCAGGGCACATCGTTGAGGACTCCCCAAGAGGGATCGTATTTGGTCGCTACGGGGAGAGTGTCGTCTCGGTTGCTGGGAGGAGGGGTTCGTATTTGATCCGAGAAGATTTTTTTAATAATTTATTTTTCTTGTTTCACGGACGCTATAAGGGGGAAGGGTCCTATTCTCCTTGAGAAATTTGTCGCGTTGGGAAAAATTCTGACTTTTCGCGTTTTTCCAGTTTGGCATGTGCAATGTTCTACATAGCCGCGCTCCCCCTGTTCGACAGCCAAATTTTTTTAGGAAATAGGAAAAGTTTCAGGAAATGGGTGAGGTTAGGAAAACCCAAGAAAGTGGTAGGTAAGGAGTCGTATTTTCGTCGCGGGTTTTCCCGTTTCACATGTGCTACATACCTCCCTGCTCGACAGATCAATCGTGAGGGAACTAGGGGATAGTATAGCAGGGCACAGCGTTCGATGGGGATTCCCTATGGGGGGGGTCGTATTTGGGCTGGGAAAAATTTATTTTTATAGTTGATTTTTCTCGCTTTGCGGACGTTTTGGAGGGGGGGGGTCGTATTTGGTCGTTGTTGGGAGGGGGGTCGTATTTCTGGCCAGCAGTTTAGATGGTACTTCACATTTTAATGAATTTCCTGTGTTATAGGTACTATGTAACTATGTACGCTCCGGTAAGCGATGTACGTCGCATGCCTACTACACATCCCCCCCCCCCCGCTCGACAACTTTTTCGCCGAGTATAAACCACAACCACAGTCAGCCATGTCAGCCATCGTACGAGCATGGGGGGGGGTCGTACCAGCCCCTGAAAAAAAGGGGGGGGGTCGTAAAAGCTCGACCAAAATCCCCATCGAATGCTGTGCCCTGTCGTCAGCCCCTTTTGAGGGGAAGGGAGGGGGTCGCCTAGCGACTACCGGCTCGACCAAAATCCGGAACTACCAATGATGTGCCCTGACCCAACCATTACTACACCAAAATTCTGCTGGAATTTTGCCTGTAGTAGCTACTTGGTGCCCTGACGGACTAGGGCATCCAATTGGCTCCTGGCACCCTTTGTGCCAATTTGAACGCTGGAGAAACCCGCCCTTTTCACGGCAAAACCTGTGTGAACTTCTATGGTTATTTGATGCCCTGTTACGAATATGACACTAATTCTTAACGCCGTTGCCATTTGAAGGCAGATTGGTGTCGGCGCCAAGCTGGTGCAATCACTCTTTTAACAAAAAATCGGCATAAACCTGCATTCCAGGGTAGTTCGATGTATTACGAACATGGTATCCGTTGAAGGCGCCGACCCCATCTGGCGTCAACAGGCCTTATTGGGCTCTATCACTTTCTCACCGAAATTGGTGTAAACCTACACACTGTGGTTAGTTAGCATGATGATCAAGGACATGGCATCCACACTTTTGCAAGCGCTAAAGTGAAACCCTCTGGTCGTTTACAGTCGTTTATGCTCTGCTAAGGCGGAACTGATAGGGTATCACTCGTCATCCGAGGCACAGTCTCAGCAGAGCACTATATGACGCAGGCGCAGGAAAATGAGTGCCCCATTCCTGATAGAGACCCGGAATTGACCTCAAATGTAAATAAGTCACGATTTCAGAAGTGAAAGTTGCGGCGCCAAGTGGGCGCCGGCGCCAAACAACGCTGGTGATAAAATTAAATGACGTTTCCGTGTTCTAAATGTCAAATAACACTGGAATGCAAGTTTATACAGGTTTCAGTGGAGAAGGTAGAGCTTGAAAATTGACGCTAGCTCGATCATGGCGCTAAACAGCCCCGACACTAAAATCAGTGTTACATTTGTAATCCGCATGATAGAAGCCTCAGCATGCAAGTTCTTGTTGCTGCGTATGATGGGGCCTGTCAAGGGAGGATAGGTTTGGCGCAGCCGTTTTTTTTCTTTTGCCAAACGACAAGACAGTACCAAATCGTTCGTATATGTGATTTTCCATCGACTATCGGCGCTCATCCGCTTCAAGAATTCGTGGAGGTCAGGGTTTGACGCCGCGCCAGTCCCAGCCTTACTGACACGCCCCT